ACACACACACACACACACACACACACACACACACACACACACACACACACACACACACACACCCCAGGCTTGGTACTTCCAACTGAAAAGTACCAGTTGGAAGGCCACTATTGTAGGCTTATGTAACACATCTTTCAACAGTAGAGACAAATAGTAAGCTTTTCTTCTTGTTCTAACTTTCTGGACAATCATAGATCAGTCTGCCAACTGATCCTGGGGCTCTCCTGAGACAACGACATGTGTCATAAGATTAAGACCAGACCAAAGCCCCTGGTGGCTGCAGGTTCAATTGTTAGTTGCTTACACACACACACACACACACACACACATTTAAAACTAGGCCAACTTGTGTAGGAATAGTAAATGAAAAGGAAGCCTTGTGCATCTCCCAGAGTAAGTCCTCTTTCCTTGTCAGTCACTGTCACCTTATCCATCTGCTCCCATCCACTGGCCTCTTCCCATCTGTTTTCTTTGTGGAATTCCTGAACATACAAGTCAGATTCCCTAACTTAGAATGATTCACATTTGAACCCGTGATAGAGATTAATCTAATCTGTACTGTGCTCAAGGTCCCCCAGATCTGGCCCTATCTAACCTTGCAGTGTCATTTTATGCCATGGCTCCCCAGCCTCCTACACACCTCCATTCCTACTGCGAAGAACCTTTGATGATTCCAAATGCACCCCATTTTCTCCTGAATCTCAACCTTTGTTTGCCCTCAACTATTTAATTTGTCTGGAATACCATTCCCCAATCCATTCTAACCTCCCTTCAAGCCCTCTATTACCCCTTCCTGCATGACACACTTTCTCCCTAAACAGTCCCACCCGCCCTCCTGTGATCCTTCCCCAAATTTACAGTCCTGGCCACAGCAAGCTCTCGCTGTTGATGTGACTAGCACAGCTCCTCAACTCTAGGCTAGAACCTCAAGGATTGTACACTAGTTAACTTCTATAATTACATAACACCTGAAATTGCTTGAAAGCAATTGATGGGTTGAGTAAAGACTTGGATTCTCCTCTTTTCTCTTTCCTGCTTGGTCTCTCTCAATTCTACAAATGCAACAGCAATTTATTTTTTTTATTTTAATTTTAATTTATTTTTTTATTGTGAGAATACCGTACAGAGGAGTTAAAATTATATGGGCAAGCATTGTTGCCTCCTCCTTTGTTTCCCCTTCCAATCCCTTCCCCTACTCCCCCCACCACCCCCCACCTGATCCTCCCCCCCGACATAACGACTTGTACATCTCATTGTTGCAATGGGTCCACCTGTATCCCTAGTTAAACAACTTGTTTTTGCCCTTCCCCTCCACAAATTATACCAACATCAAATACAGTGAAAGCAGGGGTTATACCGTGGGGGAGGGACATACAAAGCAACATAGAAATCATCTTTCTTGCTTGCTTGCTTGCTTGTTTGCTTGCTTGTTTCCTTGCTTACTTTTTTGCTTTTTTGCTTTCTTGTCACGGGGCTTGAACTCAGATCCTGGACACTGTCCTTGAGCTTTTGTGCTCAAGGCTAGCAGCACTTTTTTTTTTACCATTAATTTTTTTTTTATTGTGAAAATACTGTACAGAGGGATTACAATTACATGGGCAAGATAATGAGTACATTTCTTATCAAGCATTGTAGCCTCCTCCTTTGTTTCCCCTTTGTTTATACCAATCTCAAATACAGTGAAAGCAGGGGTTATACCGTGGGGGAGGGCCATACAAAGCAACAAAGAAATAATCTTATAAATGTGTTAGAAACAATCACCTGAAAGAAATAAACATTTCAATACATATCTTAGGGTTCATTTCCCTAACATCAACTTATCTGACCTTTTCTGCTTGACTCAGACATATACTAGTTATTGCAAATAAGGGAAACCATGGGACCTATGTTTCTTTGGGCCTGGCTTACTTCACTTAATATAATTTTTTCCAAGCCTTTCCATTTCCTAACAAATGGGGCAGTGTCATTCTTTCTGATGGAGGCATAGAATTCCATTGTGTATATATACCACATTTTCTTGATCCATTCATCTACTGAGGGACATCTGGGTTGGTTCCATATCTTAGCTATGGTAAATAATGCTGTAATAAACATAGTCATGCTGGTAGCTTTAATGTGGCCTTGTTTGTGATCATTTGGGTAAATGCCCAAAAGTGGGATTGCTGGGTCATAGGGGAGCTCTATGTGGAGTCTTTTGAGGAACCTCCATACTGCTTTCCAAAGTGGTTGAACAAGTTTACAGTCCCACCAACAACGTAGTAAGGTTCCCTTCTGCAACAGCAATTTAAACAGCCACACAAAATTCATTGCAGATCTCCACGAAAAGATGTATGCCAGCTGCAAACATACTAAAATGTGAGGGGGGAAAAATAATGTGTCTAGGGATCAAGGACATATTGGAATTGAGTCTAGGCAGTCATCACACGAAATTCAACAAAAGATATAGTGGAGAGTGGTTTGATAGACTGGGTGAGAGCCAGAAGTTATTACTAAGGCAGAAAAGCTACAGAAAGGCTTCTGCTCTTGTCTGGGTATCAAACACTGTAATTCACCACCCCTCCCCCCAGCAGGTTGTTTCAGCACAGGCTGGTCCATAGAGGTAAAAGTAGGACAAATGTAGGACAGGGGAAAAGTACCTCCTGCTCTTCCTAGTAGGATGGCTTCTGTCAAATGGAGCACTTGCCTTGACTATCTCTGCAATGACTCCCGTTCCCAGTACCTGGACCCTAGAACCATGTTTCCTCCTATTTGCTCTGTAGTCATGATGCTACTCAGATGCTCACCCAAGATCAGGTTGGGTCAGCACTGCCTTTTGAAGAGGCCTAATATTAGAAGGAGAAGAAATCCTGACAGACCAGGGTAGATATAAATCCTGGTCCAGCCAGTCATGAACCAAGGCACATTAACTTAGCTGATTATGTCCCATCTAAACGATATGGACATCAATGTCTGTGCTGGATGGTCTGGGGAGGCAGCCCAGTATGTGACACATGGTAAAGGCCAGATCCAGAAGGACTATGGTGGTGGCTGCACAGCAACATCTGGTGGGTGCCTTCAGGCAACATCTGGCAGTTGCTTCCTCGCCAGCCAGAGATCCTCTAGCAGGCTTCAATAGGCAGCGTTGCAGAAAACTTTGAGCTGTCCCTGAAAGAGCCTGTCAGCCTGCAGGGATAATCCTTGAGGGGTTCCTCACCAAAAGCATTTTAGTGAGGCCCGGCAGGCTGCTTTCTCAATCACTTCTGTGGAATCTGAGCTAAGGGGCTGGGCAGCCACACTGACTTTCCCTGGGCTCTAGGATCCCATGGCTGAAGTGAGTGACCACTGTGCTCCAAGTCAGCACCCCAAGTATTGTAATAGCCCTGTGCTTCATGCTGGAGTGTGGGGAGGGGGGTCACTAACATCAAGCCCGCTGCAGAGAATTGGCCTGTCTGAAAGGCTGTGTTCTGGGTCATACTTAAGAGTCCCGCCTAAGTTACTAAGGGCAGAACTTTAATGGACAAGTAAAAGGCCAGGCCCAAAGCTTGGTCTCAGGAGATATAATCTGACCTCTGGACTCAGTGGGTCCTGAGGCCACATTCTCACTGAGTGTGTCCTTTGTCTCCCCTTGGACACATGGGCACTGCCGCCCAGCCCCCAGTCAATGCCACTGATCTAAACACAGCTTCTTTCTCTCCAGGGGCCTGAGCACTTTACCCATCCATGCTCCAAGGAGCAGATCCCAGGTGACAAAATCTTCAGGTTGGCAGCTTGGGCCAAATTCTGTAAAGCTGAAACTGAATGAGCACTAGTGGGAATACCTCCCAGGTATGCTTCTAAGGAGAAACAGAGGCAGCAGAAAGAGTGGGGGGAAAAAAAGCACAGAAATCTCTCAGGGTTGAGAGGGGGCTGTTATAGAAGGAACAAAGTCAAATTTCTTTGCTAAAGGAGCCCTGAGAATATCATCCCATAATTAAAAACTAAAAGGTTATTTTTAAGTTGCTTTGGGGAGTTTTTAAAGTATCTTTTTGTAGAAAAAGAAGCTGCATGGAGGCAGACTGTGCAGCCTTGGAAAGCTGCTTCATCAGACAAAGCCCTGGACGGCCTGCATTTATTCAAAAAGAGAAGATAATAACATTAATAGGTATATTGTTATACCTATTTCAGTTGGGAGAATTAAATTAGATAAGATAGATAAGCACTTTGCTTACAAATGAAGTGTTGTTAGCCTTCGCTGTTTATTTTCAGTATCATCTCTGCCTGCTCCCCACCCCTAGTACTATAATTTGAACTTCAGGCCTCACACTCGTTTGGCTGACACTGAACACTTAAACCATGCTCCCAGCCG